CTCGTGCATCTAATAATAATATGACAATATGATAGAATTGTAATAATGCTACATGCTACGCGCGCTAAAACGATGAATCTAATCTAAATCTAGTAACCATATCAACGCGCAGTAACCATAGTAACGCGCTCGATTCAATTCCAGTATAATATTGCGACGAGTGTTTACATCACTAAATTAGCTGTAACTTTGTGTGATTATGGACGATCGTGCTAAATTTAAGGCGCTGTGGCTAAAATCGTCCACTGAACCAACAGGTAAAATTTCAGAGAGATCGTCCCCAGCGCTCATTTTCACCTCGCGAATGATCAGCTCGCAGTGGGATACCTCGATTCATAAAGTTTGAAATACAAAATAGAAGTTAATATATATAAAGCAATGCGCACAATTTGGGGAGTGCATGCTTTTAGTTGTTAATAGTTAAGCCCGGCGCGTTGATTCACGATGTCAATCCTTCGCATCTCGCCGATCTGCATACGTGGTGGTTGCGAGAAGAATTATTTGATGCGCGGCGCGACCCAGTAGTGCATCGCGCTACAACCCGGCGCGCGCCATCGGTGATCGGGCAATATTTCGAGAAGAAAACGGCGCGCGCTACTTCGAAGAAATTTAGACGAGTAACATCCGTCAAGTAATTGGTATTATAATAATGTAAATTAATTTATTCGTTATCGCCATCTGTTCATCATTGCATGTACTAGGTAGTGCGCCATCGACAGTGAGTTACTGGGCCGCGCTCAGCCTGTCATTCCGCCAAATCTATATATATATATGTTAATGAACATAATAGCCTGGGGTCCTCAGGTAAACAGTGAGCCGCGCGTGCCGACTATAGGATGGTTTTTTAGCGCTAATTTCGGCCAGCACAATTTTCTTCAAACAAATAGATATTAAGTATCCTTCCCGACCTCTGATTGCAACAAAAATTGGTAAGCTTACTCATAGACTTACAAGGAAAGTGTCCGAAAAGTTTAAAGCATATCCAACCATCAGACATTATGTTACAGCTAAAAGCAGCGTATTTTGCCCCATTTTGATCACTATATCAACTCCGATATCCACCAAATTTTTCGGACAGTTGTGAAAGCCCTATTGGAAGGTCGTCGCCAATTTTCAGAATGATCTCATTCAAGGAACTGGAGATATATCCAAATAATACGACAAAAATCAACGAATTTGGTCAAATTTGGTCAAATTACGCGACTTTTATAGCTAATTTTGCTCCAAAAGCCGCGCACCATCAAATATGGCACCTAAGCGAAACTCACTGATCTTTCCAAAAAGGTATAACAAATTTGGTATTGTGAAAATTCTCACAGTCTCTAGAAAACAATGGTACAAAAATTTTTTAAATCCGAGCAAGTTTATTTTTACGGTGCACCCCCTACATGTACGTAGTACGTACATGTGATTTAAATTATCATCATCCTGCAAAAGTGAGATTCAAATCAATTATGTATGTTATCAACACTTAATATTCAAAATTAGTTAAATTTAGAAATAAAAGCATTTAGATTTATATAATCGCTGAACCTGCTAACTTGTAACTTTTTCAGCAACACGCACGTAAACCGGTAAACATGTTTAATTATATTAACTTTAACATTTAAGCTTCTCAAATATTCAGAAAAACAAAACCGTACGACTATAATATATTACTAAGGTGTAGCTGTAATGTGTAACTGTAAGGCCAAAACACAAGTGACAATGCAAGTGAATGAATAAAAATGATCTTTCGCACACGATTATACAGTTCTTTGATTATTGCAATTTTGTGATTATTAGATTTTGTCTCTGTAATAAGTCTCAATACTTTTTTTCCGTACTATAGTATTACTATTAGTACTACAACACTACAACAAGTTACATAGTTTCGGGCTGGCGGAGGTGTGCATGCGCAATGCGAAGCCGTAAATTGCAACTTATAGAATCCTTTGATAGGTCACCTTATCCCATGCAGAGTCTTTACTAGAGCGGGTCTTCTTTGAAGTCTTTGTTGAGGTGGTGGGAAGATTCTTACTTTAGATGTTAGGTACTGCCTAAAGCTAGGGACTGTCAAAGTGTATATGTAAATATTGGCTACTATGTTCAGCTGTTTCAGGAAAGATGCTACTCTTCTAAATTCAACTTCAGTAGAGAGGGGTAACGTTTTAACGAAGAGCTTCGTCAAAATGAACAGAATCATGGGAAGAGTGGAAACGCATACACATACCGCTGTCAGCAGCACAGTTGATACGCCTTTCCAATTGAGATTTTCCCCTTCTCGTCGCGCCTTTCTAGCCTCGATCAACATCATAGTGGAAGTCGCTATGACAATAACACACGGTACTATTAGCCAAATAGCATAGTTAATAGTGGTGAACATCTTCAAGTTTTGCTCGTACTCAAGCAGACGCACGTATACACATTTGTAAACACTGTAGTCAAAGCTGACTTCCATTCTCGCAGCAACCATAGCAACTACTGGCGAGTACAGGGAAAAGGTCCAAATGGCCGCACAGACCACATGAGCTCTTTTGTGGGTCCAGTTCCAAGTACGAAGGGGCCATTTCAGCTGAAGCCACTTCCCTGCAGTCATGGCGCACACCAGGAGTAAACTTGCTGGAAGGCAGAGGTAGGTCAAGGGATCTCTGATGTAGCAAAATGCGTCTCCTAAAACCCACTTATTGTGCACCAAAGACACAAACGCTGGGAAAACGTAAAAAACTGACAAGATCAAGTCAGCCACAGCAATATGCTGGATGACCGTAAGTATAAAATCTGAAAGTTTCAGAGCATCGTATTTTATGGAAGCTACTAAAATAGTCGCATCACCGACGAGAGAAGATACGAGTACGATGAAATGGTATCCCGCCCAAACATATCTGACATTGGTATCATTGATACCATACAGCGTCACGTTGTTTGAGATCACCATTTTACAAATAATAAGAAAAATAGGCAAATACGTAGAGATTTTGGAAACTAACTCTTTCAATACAGTAGGAAGGGTATACAATTTGCTCATTTCTACTCTACCATCGTTTTCGCATTTCGGAAGAAAATTACTATATTGAGTAAAAGGAAATACACCTTGACACTGCATGATAAATCAAAATCCAATCCTACACACATATTTTGTTTACATTGTTACTGGTCTTACGTGTAATCATGAAGTGTTCTACAATTATTTTTTCTATTTAGAATTTCGATTTTGACTTTTGATCCTCCATTCTTTTTTATAGTTACGCAAAAATTAACTCGTCAGGTTTGAATAAAATTGTAATCAATATTACGTTTCAACCAATTTTATATAGAAGCAAGCTTAATGCACTTTTAATGCATTCTCTTAAAACTTTTTAAGCAAGTATTAAAACTGTATAAATTACATTTTCAACGGTATTAATAGTTTATAGTATGAACGCAAATCTCAGGACCCTACGAGAAAGTATGAATCGAGTCAAAACAACATACAGATCCTTAATTTTGCTTCAGGCCTAAAAATAGATTTTGATTTAATGAACATTTTCTTTAAAATTACAAATAACTCGCATACTTCTAGTAGTTAAAGTAGTTAGTAGTCAAAAGTAGATTTGTCGGTCTAGAGAGGGGGCTTCCATCTTCAATCTTAAATTCTTAATCTGAAAATATTTAAATTAATGCTTTGTGTAACTCTATATTTGGTATGCTGTATGAGTTGTAGTTGATAACTACGTATAACTTATTTGACGTACTATTATAATTAACAGGTTAAAAATAAAAGTGGATGGAAGAAAAACTTGATGATAAGAGTCGAATCTGTAAGTGTACAGAGCCCAAAATCCGAGCACAGCACCGTAGAATTCCAATGAAGCTTATCACTGTGGAATTCCACTGAAACATATTACAAAGAAATTCCACTGAGATATATTACTGTGGAATTCCATAGAAACGTATTCCGCCGTAAAATTATGACGTGAATTGAAATTTCATCTCTATGAGTCTATCGTAATTGCCAATCGGCATCATCAGTTCCAAATTAAATGGATTGGGTAAATCACGACTTTCAGTAGAAGGATCCCAGTTCACAGAGCTGTTTGTGTCGTTTTTCTATTCTACCAGTACCACTCTTCCCAAAACCTGTCATATAATTACCTTTTCTACTTCTAGGGCAAACCGGAATTTTGATTTTCTGCAGAGGAGACAGGAGCTGAAGATAACTTTCTGCAACGACCAGCTTGGTATAGAGTAGAAGTGGTACTAACATAGTTTGTCACCAATTAAGGATTAAGGACCAAGTGATAACTATAAATATCAGCTGCGTTCTGACTGAAAGTGGTTCAATGGGTCGGGACTCGGGATGGGATGGGAGTTAGAGGTTAATAATAAATATAAGAGAGAAAGGGGTTTAATTTCACTAACTTGTGACCTAAAAGGGGAAGTCACATATGAAGCGGTTCGATGATCATGTGAGAGAAACAAATAGCACGAACTGGACGCGACAAAACAGAAAACGGGTCGGCTGACAACTCAAAACACATACACTCCTGTACTGCAGACCTGGTAAAGTTACCTTTCTGATGAGTGTTAAGGCATATTTAGTGTAGCGTCGATATATCTCGTTTTACAGTAATCCTGTAGATCGAGATTCGAGGGTTCCCAAGTTTCCCCAGTTTTTCTGTCTTGGCAAGACTATCATGATTATTAAACTTCCATATATTATGTCATATACTCACCTTTTTATTAATCGGAGCGGGATCCCAATGAAAATTGTAAATTTAACTGAGATTATACTGTTAAGTTAAACATTTATTAAGCAAAGAATTAGCAAAAATGTTCATAATTTTAGCCAGGTTGTAATCGTGAAATAGTTCCCAATATTTCACGATTATTCCTCAGCGTTAATGTTTAAGAGTCTCGTACTAACCTAATTATCGTACATGCATGGACATTCTTTTGGTCGTCAGCTTATAATTAATTAAAAGTACCGAATTTTCTTAATCAATACCATATCCTTATTCAATAATTTGTAAGCTGTAACATTAAAATGTTTTACTTGGACAAGGATGTGTATTGCAGGTCTGATCTTGCGCGTCACCAACACACTCATCTCCTCCGTGTTGAAGTGCCGGGTTAGTACAAGTCCTAGTTCGGGTTTTGGTTCCTACTCCGCATTCTTTAGAACATTCCGACCAACTACCGTACTCAGTGTACCTACCGTGAACTGAAATTCAAGTAAATTGTTTAAATATTGGAACATGTAATACATTTTTACGAAACTTATCTTAACTATAAATGATGCAGCTTTGCCGGATAATTATAATTTCGCACCTCCATTAAAATTTTGTAACTATTAAATATCCTGACGCTGAAAAACTTATGGGACCAGGAGAAACAGACAGTAACATACGTTTATATCTTACAGCTATAGTTCAAACTTACCAGGAATTGTTATTGTTCTCAGTTCAACTGTGAAAAATTCATCCGCTTTGTTCCTAAACGGAGGCTTTGCCAGATTTACCCATTGAACGACCATCTTCGTTGCTCTTTTCAGGAACCCACTTTCACATTCAAAAGTCTCATTAACTATGTCTAGCTCCATCCTCAAGTTACCAAGCGTATCCACAGATAGAATCAAGTTTGCCTCGCCAGTGTGAAGTTTCTTCAGTGCAGGGTGATCTGTTGAATCCTTGGTGCAGCTAGTTGATGAGTCCTCCCAGTTGACGACCGTCACACTCTGGTTAATAGTAGATTGTGTCTCGAATGATCGCATGTGCACTCTGACCAGTCCAATACTGGATTCTTTATCGTCTGAGAAGAAGTTGAGAACCACTTGACAGCGGTAGTTTAGGACATTATTCTTGGTAACCCCAGGTTTGAGTCCGAATCTGAGGTCTATCTTCTCTTTCGTCAAGTTGATCTCGTGCGTCTTATCACCTAATTTAATAGGGTCAGAATTTTTGCACAACGGAGGTAAAGTATGGCAGTGCAATTCTACCTATAGCTTCAAGGTAATCATATGCATAGCTCTAGTGACGCCAATAACAAACCTCCTGATCTGAAATTTGGAAACAAACCTGAACTTTTGATGAGTTGGAAGTGACACTCTTCGTCACACTCAGCGACAACTCCAATATCTTTAGCATTGGCATTTGTAGAAGCAGACTGTTTCCAGCATTTTTCAGATTGCTTAATCATGGGTTCTATCGAGTATAACCATTTCATAAGTTCGAGGTCCTCGCAAGTCTTGAGGAGAAGCCTGTTATCCTCGCTTGCTACACAGTCCTTGTCATCGTCCTTAGGTTTGATAAACCTACTCGTTGAGTTGTAGCAGAATACGTTCCTCACAGCACAATCAGAGGTCAGAATGAGAGTATCGTCCCTATTTCCGGGCACAGTGACACACTGGTTGCTACCTATTGGTCGGATCATGCCACACATTTCATACGTTAGGTTCAAGGTTCCGAGACTTTTGTTGGGATCTGAAATACGAAATGTTTATAATTATATCGATACTGAGCTTAAGATCTATTCTAACACCTTTTTGGTTTATAAGAATTGTTAAAGCGCATCTTTTGAAAGGAATATATTCAGTTAAAGCCATTTTCAAGTAATACGTTTTTTGAATCGTCCACCGCGACGTTGAAAATTTCTGAATCTTCAACGCAAAACGGACGTTGTAATTGTAATTGTAATTGTAAGTAACGTATTTTTTAGCCATCTGAACTTAAGATGAAACAACGTCAGATATTATTGTATTGTATAATGAGCTCTGGGTACTGACCTGCATTTGAAGCTGCTGACACTAAAGGGATGATCAGTATCAACATACCTAACATGTCTAATTCTACTGGTTTAATTCAACTTTCGCTGGATTACATCTATAGAAAAAAACTGATTAATACTGATAACGAAATGCAATTCAAACAAAATATTTGCCGTTTTCCTGTTGAATGGCCAGAAAATATTTCGCAAACAAAATGGATAAGTTACTGTCGCGAATATAATATAATAATACGGAGTATAATTTACTTCAAATCAACAGGACGCGTTTAAATGGACCACGTTGAAATTTAATTTTCTGTACTAAATTTTATATCAACGTCACAAAATTTCTTGGACAATAGTTTTGAAAAAAAAGTCTTTACGATTGGAAAGATAAGCATTTACTGCATCGCTTCAATATTTAAGAACAACCATCACTATTACTATCAGTAATATTGACAAATATTATTCTGTATGTTATACTCACAGCACGATCTGCTCTTTCTTTAGAATTACTAACTACTAGTTATCCCACTCTACTCCTACTATAGCTGCCTTACTTCAAGTGCTCATATTCAATAAGTACTCAGAGTAATTGCAGGACTCTTCCTCAGAACTTATTCCTTAGAACTCGCTGGAGTAAAATGAGTGCGAGAACAAAGAAACGAAGCGACAACGTCCCCCAAATACCAAATCTGAAAAGGTAAACTGGATAAAATGTGTGTAGTTGTACGGTGGCAACAGTGCATCACGTAATTACATATTAGGCAACAGGACATGTGGTCAAGTATTTTAGTAAAATTTGTATCCTCATTCTTTAAAACTAAGTTAATCTATGATAAAGGTACATAAATATTGCTTCCAGTAGATTTATAAAAGTAAAACGTTGATGCGAATTTAACAGTATTGATTATAATTTAGAATCAAATCTGCATGAATTCAAACCCAACTAAATTTAACAGTCGCCAGACGTCTTACTGACCAAACATCTCCATGTTACCTACAGTATAATTAATGAATGATTAAAACACATAGAAACAGTGTTTGATGTTTAACTTTAATACTGCAAATAATGTTAGAGCGCTGCTTGGGTGCTTATAGGAACACAAACACAGAAGGTGACATTCCATGTGGGATATGGTGACTCTTCAGCCGTTACACACGTTCATGTTCTACAAAAGAATTCATTTGGTATCTGTTTTGTGTTGACGTATTTTCGGGAACATTCCTTACCTAGCTTGTTATTTGACAGATTTGTTATTAACCACGGTACCAATTGATGGACAAATGTTAGTTGCGAGTCCGTCTCGGAAGGTTCTGCAATCTGCACCCACTATTGAGCGTCTTAAAACTTTGGTTTTATATTTTTGCTGGGATTTAGATCTTCATGTTACTTTTTATTTCATTCGTCATGGTATTGTGATTTTATTCAAGACTTCCAATTTAAATTTTATTAGTTTGACACAAATTGATACAGCAATGTAGAGCAAGTAAAGAATATAGATAGACCATAGTAATATAATGAATGAAACGGTTCTTCAAGTGATCAATTTTTTCTTAGGCACGTGGTTCTGGAACAAGTAGTCCTATGGCATATTATCATTATATATTATGGTTATCGGACAGAATGAAGTTTAAATCGCTAAAATTTTGCAGCTCAGCGGCTTTTTGTGGCGACTTAGAGGTGGCGGCATGTTGCCAGCATTGCATGGCATCCTTTGTGTAAGGTTTACACTATCACTATGTCCGTAGAAATATTTCCTTTACCCTCATGAGTTTTTGTCCATATTGTGGTTGCAAAGGTCTTATAATATAGATTAATTGTCTATATTAATAAAGGCCAAAGGGTCTATACATATAAACTGCTAACTAACCTTATTATCTTATGCCTAACATATTACGTACGTATTATTTGACCAAAACCCATAATCATGGGTAGAGTGGACCGCTGCCAGTGTCTCTCTTTCCCAAACAAAAGGAAATGATATTAATTTGATTGACCGTTCTCAAATGCAAAATGATACCGAGAATGAAATCGGTCGCTCGCTTTTCCCATTCATTCACGGCTTACGAATTGTAATAAGTTTCGATTGATTAGGTACATCAATCAGATGCTGTAAAAATCTCTTTGGGTTGCGTTCGTGTCGATACTCGATACCTAGTATTTCGGGGTAAGGGTGGTAGTAATTACTTATTGAATTAGCTGAAGTTTATTGAATCTTTATTGCCGAGTACAGCTGCCTTTGGGTAGTTCTTCTTAATCTATTACAATTGTAAATGAATGAGAAAAGCGAGCGACCGATTTCATTCTCGGTATCATTTTGCATTTGAGAACGGTCAATCAAATTAATATCATTTCCTTTTGTTTGGGAAAGAGAGACACTGGCAGCGGTCCACTCTACCCATGATTATGGGTTTTGGTCAAATATCATCTCTTTTTGATTATAATGTCAGGGTACTTTATAAAGTCGAAATATAAACTGATATGATATCTTCATTAATAAGGAGGAAGTTTCAACAATTTCGAAATTTTTCCTTTAAAAACATTTCCTTGTGTTTAGGTATGCATATCGGTCGATCACTGACTGAATATGCCACTTAATACTCATTCAAGTTGGCATTAAATTCATATATAATGACATTAAACAGTCGTGGCAAAGCAGAATTTGTTGGAAATCTCAAATCACGAATGAGCAAAATTCTCACCTTTCGCACGTGCAAACTTTGAGCGGACGTTGCATGCGCATCCAATATTGAATCGCCGTAAATTTTTGCATGTAATTGTTTTATATATAGTTTGATAAGCATGCAAAGTTTCAAAGTATTTCAAGAAGAACTGTAATCACAACGGCACTCTAAAGTTAACAGAAAATGACGAAAACAGCAATTTTCAGTGATTTTATCGTCTATCCCTGAATATATGTATATATCACGACAATCTATCGTAAAACAGGGGTTCTAGAAAACCCATTTCCCGATGCTCCTGAAACCTGAAACTTTTTTTGCAGTCGATTTGGTCAACGTCTAGACGCCCTGAAAAATTTCAGATCTCTAACTCAATTTTAACATGGTTTTTAAGGCACCTGAATATGGCGATTTTGGGTTTTTTACCGAATTTCGTATAACAGTGCTGGCGAGTATTTTATGCAAATTTCTTAAAAATCTCAACATAACTATTTTTTATTCCTGTCATCTTTGACATCAAATTAGAATGTTTTGAACTAAAAATAAATCTGCTGAACGACTTCCGATGAGTGTTAATGCCTGGAAAACTCCTGCCGGAGGCGGCGGCCTTCGGCCGCCGCCTCCGGCCGCAATGCACGCTTCGCGTGCACAAAAGAGGCTTGTAACGTGTACCAAAGGGGGTATAATAGTAAAGGGGGTATAATATTAAAAGGGTACAATAGTAAAGGGGGTACATAGTATACCCCCAATAAAGACACCGCTCGTGCTTGCCAGCACTGTGATTATGTTGTTTATTATGTTGTTTCTTCATCTCTGCCTTTGTTCATAAGAGGGCTTCTATCCATCGTCTTCTTGCACAATTCCTTAAGTGGGGTAAGTCATCGTTATGTGAATGTTTGCAGTTTTCCAGACATTGATTGGGGTGTCTAGTGGTTAATTTTATGTCTAGTGGTCAACTTATGTCCGGTTTTCTAAGCTTTTTGTCTAAGTTTTAGGGAAGTTGGGAAGTTTTTGGCTAACAATGTTACGTCAGCAGACGAGTGGGTTAAGAAATGCTTGTGAAAGTGGATTCCTGTAAACCAATTTTTACACGGTTCATGTGTCATGCTACCCAGATCTTTATGAGCCTAACATATTTTTTTCGGTTTTCTGAATTCCGTACCTACATTCGGAAGGCTGTGGCTGTGATGGGTTCCATATACTTATAAAGAACGTGATATATGGCCTTCGGATTTAAAGGAGAATGCGCAAATTTGGTCCTCAGATTTGAAGAAAAATGCACAATTTGTCGCGGAGAACGTCAAAAATTGCGATTTGTCGTGGAGAATGGGAAAATTATGATTCCTCACGTGCCACGATTTCCTTTTGACCTTGGTCACAAGTCACACGTACTAGGCCTCATAGGGTCTCAGAGTAGCGACTATAAGTATATAACGTTGGCACGTTATCTGCATTTGTCAAGATGCTTCGTTCTTCATCTTGTGACTCACAGGCGGTGGTCTTTTGTTTGATCGTGCAATCTAATCGCATTATATATCTCATCTGAAACTATGCTTGGTGTAGCTTGGCCGAACGTCGCATGATCAAGTGAAATAAGGTCGACATTTTATACCCCTAACCTACAATCCCTTCTACTTCTAGTTTTTAACCCGGCCTTTCTCGAACACTTGTACGATTTATGCGATTAACACTTCAAACTCAGAGTTCCCCAATTTTCTGTCGCTTTGGCACTTTGTTCTTTCTTATTCCACCTAAATTATTCATTTCCCTCCCTATATAGCACACCAGCTACTAATTTTATGGGAATTGTTTAGAATGAAGCTGTAGCATGCGGAAAATCCTAAAGAAGCTGCTCAAGGAGCTAAAGAATATACTTGGAACGGTTCCCCTTTTGCTTAATGGTCTTCTAATATTGGCAGGGAAGCTGATAAGAGCGATTTTAGGTAGATATTAACGGGCAATAAATCAATTCTAGAATGTTGTAGGTTAATAACGCGTAACAAAACGTACGCCGAGGTGGACTCGTCGATGGTCTTGGAATGAATATTTTATTTGTGATTTGGAACAAATATTTTACGAGTATCACCCTTTAATATTATATTTGATATTATGAATGGTATACAAAATAATTTCTCTCTTTTTTATTTTATTTAAATGTACACAATGAAAAATCTAAATGCATGTCATTGTCTTTTGTGGCAAAATTTGGGACAATATCGATTTTGAGTTATACCAAAAGTTTTATTTTGAGCCAAATTGCAAATAATAATAATTACAATTAACGAACTGTAACTTTGTATATTCTTATTACTATTAGGCGGCGCTCAGCCTGTCACATTTCTTTCCACCATTATATTTTTATAAAGCCTGGGGTCTCCAGGTAATTGGTAATGCAGATTCAAGTCCTCTGATTGACTGAATTGTGTCACGTGAAGCTTGGAATGTGTTACTGTTACGCATTCAAGATTTGCACACGGTATCTCAACGTCTCAGACTCTCAGGGACCCTAGTGCAGATACTTTTTATTTTTGACCGTAGAATTCATTGAAAGTAGTCCTGAGATGATTAAACTAACTCAACCCGGTTAAAAATGCGCGCAACTTCGTCATTTTTACACAGTACATTTGACATCGTAGCACTTGCCTAACTCAAGAATTAACCATTGTTAATGGTTTGGCCCGGTGCGCGCTACTTCGAAGAAATTTAGACGAGTAACATCCGTCAACTCGAGAATAAAAAACGGCCGCTACTTTGAAAAAATTTGAACGAGTATCGTGGCTATGAAACCAATACAACGCGCAGTTTAAAGACTTTCGCTTTCATTTTTAAAAGCATCCACTTTGACAAAGCATAATTCTGAACTCGCCATCAACTAAGTCAAATTTCAATTTTAAAATACAAAAAGAAACTAGAGAATTTTATCAACACAATAGGGAGACGCTGGATGGGGTATTAAAAACGCGATCTTCACCCTCAAAATCGACTTTTAAAATGTCATATTTTCCCCCGTCAAAATAAGCCTTATATCGAAATATCCTCCCCTCTTTCTCAACTCCCTACCTCCTCCCCCACCCCCCTTTCGTGTACTGTGCTCTCTTCTTTTGCAGCTTCTCGGCTCTCTCATACCCAGCAGACCTTACTATACTGGCTGGCAATATTATAGTAGGTTTACAACCTACCAGGACGCGCGCCGAGTTGGACTCGTCGTGTCGACGGTCCTAATATATGGAACAAATATTTTACAAGTATCACCCGTTATTCCGTTAAGCGATATTACTACAAGAGATCTTGACCATTGTTAATGATCTGGCCCGGCGCGCGCTACTTCGTAGCACTTGCCGTTTCGAGAAGAAAGAGGCGCGCGCTACTTCGAAGAAATTTAGACGAGTAATATCCGTCAACAAGTAAAGTGATCGCAGCTCTTCACAGTTTGTTGAACTCCGCGCGCGCTCGTTAGTTCATTATAGCGCGATGCGTTACTGTGCCGCGCCGCGCACTTAATAAGGCTTCTCACAGCGACAGATCGGCTAGATCGGCAAAATGCGCTACTGTGCCGCGCCGAGCTGCCATGAATTGACATCGTCAATTAAGTTAGTTCATTGCATTTGCACGCTTCAATTATTCCAAGAATGCAATTGCACCACGTACCACGTGATTGGTGATACGATTCAGCCAATCAGAGAACAAGAATCTGCAAAGTTTGATTCACGATGTCAATCCTCGGCGAGGCCTAGTGGTGCATCTTGCCGATCTACCGAAGAAGTTGCGAGAAGGATTATTTGATGCGCGGCGCGGCCCAGTAGTTTGACCATTGTTAATGATCTGGCCCGGCGCGCGCTACTTCGTAGCACTTAACATTTCGAGAAGAAAGCGGCGCGCGCTACTTCGAAAAATTAAGGAAGAGCTTTACAAACAGCAACATGAAACTATCATGAGTGAGGTATCCCCATCCACACAAAGACAAATAGAACTCCTCAGCGAAAAAGGAGTATCCATTTGGTTATCCACACTCCCTCTAAAAGCATGTGGGTATGGTCCTCAACAAACAAGAATTCTTTGATGCCCTCTCACTCAGATATAATCTTACACTGTCTACAGCTAAAAGAAGTCCCCTATGTGTATGTGGACAACAAAACCATATCAACCATACTCTAACCTGCAAAATCGGAGGCTACATTTCACTAAGACACAATTCACTCAGAGATACGATCTAGCTGAACTCCTAACCACTGTTTGCAAAGACGTTGAAACAGAACCTCAGCTTCTCTCCGTTCCTCACACACTTAAAATATCAAGTTTTAATACTTTCAACACTACTATATAACAAATAATTTGAGTTCAAGGATGGCAAGTAACAATGTACCCGAGAGGGTGTCGATACGAAAAAACGTGGAGTCAAGACGAGTCCCCCTAAGGATTCATCTTCTGATAATGTCCCAGTGCCAGAGGAAAAATACTGCCAATGTGATGTTTACATGTCAGAAGAACTATCAGTTGAATGTGAAGCTTGCCAATTATTTTGGCACCTGAGTAGTGTTGGTTTATCTGGCCTTAAAAACGAGATGTTACTGAATCTAACAAACTGGAAGTGCCCATACTGTTTTGTGGCGCCTCATCTTTGATAAGACCTCATCTAGAGTATTGTGTCCAATTGTGGAATCCAGTTGCGGCTCATGGAAGTTGGGGGACTGTTTTGGAGCTGGAGAGCGTCCAGAGGCGGTTTACCCGTCTGATTGATGAGGTGGGTACTCTTCCTTACAGCCGTAGACTGGAAATCCTTAATTTGACAACGCTGGCAGAGCAGCGAATACGTGGGGACCTTATTGAAGCTTTTAAGGTTATTAATGGCTTGACTGATTATGGTTCAGACTTGTTCAGACCAAGCAGATCAGGTCTTAATCTGGTTTCATCCAATAGATTTAGTAAGAGTGTGACAAAGGTCAAGACTCTTCAGTGTTCTTTTCTTCCAGAGCGGGTTGTTCCTTATTGGAACAAACTCCCTTCAGAGGTGAAGAACTGCTTGACAGTTTTGAGTTTTAAAATTGGATTGGAAAGTTTTAAAAAGAATATGATTTCTAAATGTATTGTAAATGACTTTCATTTTTGGCATGTTTCGAAAGAAGTTTTAACAAGAATTGAAGGTACCAGTTATATCAGTAATAAGGAAAAACACAATGATTATCTGTGGTTCCATCCTTATGTAGCAAAGAAACGTTTTATAAATCTTTACTCCACTGGGAAGTATGAATAAATTAAATTTTGTAATGTTGTTTTTATTCATGATTAATATTTGATAAATTATTACCTTTAAATTTGATGGAGAAATAGTTATTTTTCCATGTAGTGTGATGATACTTTGTAGACATTAGTGATGATTTTATGTCATAATTTTTACTTTACTTTACTACTTTATCAAATGGAACAAATAGACAAGATGGTGCAAGACTGCAACTGGACATCAGTGCAAGATCGTTCTGGTCGCCGCTGGACAGGGCATTCACAGATGTAAGGGTACTTCACCCTCAAGCCCAGTCCAACAGTGACAAGAGCATCTCGCAGATGTACCAATCTCACGAGAATAACAAAAAATGTGAGTACAATGACAGAGTTCTCAATGTAGAAAAGGCTACCTTCACACCACTGGTGTTCAGTACTACAGGAGGAATGGCAGTTGAGGCTTCTAAGTTCCTAAAACATCTCACTGAAAAGATCAGCCTTAAGAAAGGCCAACGGTATTGTGATGTGATGTCATTTGTCAGACGCAGACTGCGCTTTGATCTACTCAGAACCTGTATAATCTCTATCAGGGGATACAGAGGTACCAGAACTCTTCCACCCACGGCAATAAGTGATTTGGACCTTAACCTGATCAACACTCCTAAACCCTGAAAGGTCATGGAGTGCTTGTTGGATGGGGGTCTAAACTGCTTTTTGTTGTGATGTGAATTTGTTATATATTATTGCAACTAGGGTTTTATTTTTTACCTCAGTTTTTTAAATTTGTACCATTTTTAAAGAATTTGTATCTATCTAAGGGTCATTGCTATATTATGTGTACGGGTATATGACCCCCAGAATATAGGTCGCTTTTTGAGCACTTAGAAACAGGTGTTAAAACTACTTCTTAGCATGTTTAGGGGTGTAAATATGTACATAATAACCCTTTAAATGTTTCTTGGGTAGTTGAAAATAATTATTAGGTTTTTAAATGTACTTTTTTTTCACCTGTAAAAATACCATTTTTTAACAGGGCCCCCAGAATATAGGTCCAAACATCTGTTCCTAAGTTTTTCTAAAATTGTCACAGACAGTTATATGCAGTCAGAATATGTTGCTGAGACTGTATTGATGATGCCAATGGCTCCAGATACTAAATTGAAATGGTTTAGAGTATACTTAATAGCAAAAAACCAAAAACTATGGCCCCCAGAATATAGGTATGCAAAAATCGTCCTCAAATACTCCATCTTCATACATTTTGATGATGCCATCTCTTCAGCATATGTTCTTTAACTGTTTCTCATCACTACCCCACATTCCTCAGTGCTCAGGGTGACAGAGAAAATGCAGAATCTTGGTCGCTATTTTTTTTTCAAACCTATATTCTGGGGGCCATATACCCGTAATGAGTAAAATCTTTAATTTTACTAGTTAAAAAGCTTTCATGCACTCATTTAGTAGGGATCTTAACTAAATACTTAAATAAGATTGAAGGAGTGTCCCTAGATCTCTAGATATGATTGAGGGGGGCTGTTTTTATCTGTATCAATACAATGTGCACCTCAATGACTGTAAATCAGACATTTTTGGCCGCCAAATTTTTTTAAAGGCCTACGGGTGTGCGCTTTAGGGTTTCTTGGACAAGACTAAGGGGGACTAAGAGAAACGAGCACGTTATGAAACTGATTTAAACTATTGTAGCATATTTAACAGTAAGGAAAATGGGAGCTAGCTGTTGAACTTCTTTGAAGTGACAAAGCTCTCTCAAAATAATACGAGGCTGTGCTGATTAGAGCTGTTTGATTCAGCTTAAATAAACATGTCCAATTATCACGCTTATTTCAGTAATCATTCCTCCGACATCAATCTCGGGCATCCGGTATTAACCTCGGGCTTTCTGGTACTAACCTCGGGCTTCCCGTCTCAACAATAATTCGATATTCATGCATACAATATCATTGTCTTCGCGTCTGCGGCTATCAATCAACTTTCAAGTCATCAAACAACTAGCTCCTAAATTCTGTTATCTTTAAAATTGATCGTTATCAGAATTTATCTTTATTCTTAGAAACGGGCTTTGGCCGTAATCAATCATAAATCATTTGTCAATCATTCGGTATCGTACTGTGTCATGCTGTTCAATAAATGATTCCGCTTATTTGATCAAAGTTTGAATCACTCGAGATCTCTCAAAGAATTTAACACTACTTCAAGATTTAAGATTAAAGTGGATTTATCATTTTATTGTCCTAGATTCAAATTCTTGTCCCAAAATCAGGAGATGGAATCAGGTACTTTAAAGAAATCAGTCTGGAATCAGTTGGCACAGCTCCATATCCAACTTTACAACTTTCACGTGAATTCTACAAAAAACTAAAATTATTAAAGAAACTAAAGTTAAAAATCTAATTACGCATGCGAACTCGATCTCTACACGGGTATTTGCCTCACAGAATGGCCAAAAAAAAGGAAGGTCTCTCAAAGTCACAAAACACACTTTATTCCAGTTTTTATCTCATAAGAAGCTAAGTTGACACTCATATTTTTCTTCCCGGGGGTTCATTTATTCTCATAATCATTTTTTCTTTGAGAAAAATTGGCCGGAAAATCTTCCTCCAAAAAAACATGCCTCACAGAATGGCCAAATCTGAATTTCTATAATTTTGTTGATGGAGATACTTTTTAAATTTCTATCACCACACGTTCTTAGAAAACCTATTAAGGAATGGGGTAATAACCTAAAACTCACGAAAAAACTGAGCTGTGAAAAATTATTTCACAAAAAAGAAAAAATGCCTGACAAAATGGCAAAAAAAAAAAGAAAACGAGAAAATTTTATTTTTCTAAAACCTTTGGCTCTTGTTTCAGGCATGCTGCTGGTATTAATATGCCTTGTTAACACCCCCATATAGGTGAAATTTCTTAGAAATGAATAAAAAGGGCATAATTTCCTACACCAAAAATGGCCATTTTGTGTGGCGTTGTTCATATTCCCTGATTTCATGATTTATAACCTTCATTCGGCTGTAAAAACACTCCATCTGGGGTGTTATTGTATGATAAATAGCTTGTGAATACTTTAGACTTATGGTTTCATTGAATAAAAGGAGTTTTAAATTTTGGCCATTTTGTGAGGCATATTTTGGCCATTTTGTGAGGCGTTTAGCCATTTTAACATTTTGTTTCTTCCTAAATTGAACAATGTTCGTTTTATTTGATGAATACTATTCTTTAAACATCTTCTGTCATACTGGTGCCAGAAGTTCTCACCAAAATGCAAACTTAGTTCAAAAATTTGAAAACAAATTTTGTGAGGCATATTTTGGCCATTTTGTGAGGCGTGTAGCCATTTTAGCATTTTTTTCTTCCTATATTGAACAATGTTCGTTTTGTTTGATGAATACTATTCTTTGAACATCTTCTGTCATACTGGTGCCAGAAGTTCTCACCAAAATGTAAACTTAGTTCAAAAATTTGAAAACAATTTTTCAGTGCTCAAAATTTCTACATAAACAGTCATATTTATGCCAGAAAATGTGGTCCTAGTTAATGATTTCACCACAGGAAGTGTTGCCAGAAGACTTTTGTTTCATATGGTATCCACAAAACCTACCAGTCTTTTATAAAAAATTAGTTACAAAAACATTTACAAATTTGGCCATTCTGTGAGGCTAGCCATTCTGTGAGGCATTTACCCGTAACTCAAAATTCTGTCCCAAAACTTAAAAGGTCATGAGACAATTCTACGTTGATTCTGAAAATTTCATGTCAAAATATTGAAACCCTATTGAGTTCTATTGTTTTGAGCGAAGTCAGTTTTGCAAATATCGCGAACTGAGATATGGGCGATTTTGTTCATTTTTTGCGATTATTTGAACACAATGAAACGAAAAGTTTTCAATGAAACGAAAAGTTTTATTTTACATTCCTTTAATCATAAATAAAATAAGAGCTTAAACCACGAATTAGTTAGCTAGAAGTAAACTTGAGGAAATATTTTTGGTGATTGTATATAATTATTTAAAAAGCTTTATTTGGTTGTTAGTATTGTAATTATGGTAAGTGGTTGAATTTAGTGAGACAAGGTCAGTTTCTCTATTATCTTAGAAAAATTTCT